GGCCCTTATGTGCATGGGGGCTGCCCACCCAGGGGAGAAGCTGCCCCAGCTCAGAACCAGGGCCTGGGTCTCCTTAGCTCCCTGTTCATCGAGTGGATATCAGCTTTCCTTTCATGTTATGAGCCAAATGGCGCTTGAAGCAAGCCGAGTTCCACAGAGAACACAGGCATCTTCCAACCTTCCTAGTTTCAGGAAATGCCTGATATCTCGTGTGTGTGTGTGTGTGTGTGTGTGTGTGTGTGTGTGTGTGTGTGTGTGTGTTGGGGCTTGAACTCATATCGTTTGTGTGTGTGTGTGTGTGTGTGTGTGTGTGTGTGTGTGTGTGTGTGTGTGTTGGGGCTTGAACTCAGGGCCTTGCAATCTTGCTTGGCTTTTCCACTCAAGGCTGATGCTTTGCCTCTTGAGTCAGACCTCTCCACTTCCATTTCTTTTGCTGATTAGTAGAACCTAAGAGTCTCTCAGATGTGTGTGTCTGCCTAGATTGGCTTTGACCTGTTATCCTCAGATCTCAGCCTCCTGAGAAGTTGGGATTACAGGAATGAGCCGCTGGTATCTGGCTTCTCATATCTGCCTGCTTAGAACAAGTTTAAGTGGTTAAGTCAGGACCCTCAACTTCTTTCTCACTCCCACATTCCTGATAGGGTGTTTAGGCTAATAATATATTCCTCGCTGCTGCAGAATGATTAATCCTAGGAAGCAGTATCTGAGCAAAAGCTGCGGTGAGTTGAGGTAGCTTGAGTGACTGATACGCCATTCCTGATGTCAGTGGCTGTAGATGACCTTGTTGGAAAATGACTAAAACAGTTTGAGGGCTAAAGAACAAAGGTGTCACTGAAGAAGGGGTGGGCTGTGTTGAAGAGCCAAACACAATCAAGACTGGCAGTGTTCAAGGGACCCTCCTTCAGAAATGGTTTGCGTTCAGTGGGTGTTTCTGTAGTGCTGGAATTTGAAGTCAGGACCTGGCACCCCCTAGTCAAGCCCTGTACCATTTGAGCAACATCTTCTGTTGTGTTAGCCGGGGGGGGGGGGGCGGATAGTCATTTCCCTGATTCATCGAGAACAAGCAGCATAAAGAAATAAGCGGGTGATGGAAGTGGAGGGAAGGAAGTGTAGGTGTTTCTCTCACATGGTTTGTGTTCTCATCAGACTATGAATGGAAATGATCAGCTCCAGGATGGAGAGGGGGAAATGGCTCGGAATAACTTGGGGTGGGGACAGCCGGGGAGAAATGGAAGGCTTGCTTGACAGCCAAGCTCTGCTGAATTTTTAGACACACTAACCTACACCGGGAAGACAGAAATTTATCTTCAGATGAACACGTCATCACATTAAAATTCAAATGCCTAGAGCCACAGAGACACCTGGTGTGTGTGTGTGTGTGTGTGTGTTTATATGTGTGTGTGTGTGTGTGTGTTTGTGTTTGTACTGGGACTCGAACTGGGGGCCTGGGCCCTGTCCCTTAGTTTCTTCACTCAAATGCACCCAGGCATGCAATGTCAGGAAAGTTAATCTGTGGCCAGTTCTCAGCCTCTGCCTTCTGGCACTTCTGGCACTAAGGCCCCTACAGGTCTGAGCTGAGCTCAAGGCTGATGTTCTACTAATTAAGCTACTTGGCTCTCCTTGCATTGTTCTTACCTTGGCTGGCTTTGAACCTTGGTCTTCAGATCTCAGTCTCCTGAGTAGCTAGGATTACACGTGTGAGCCACTGTCACTTGGCCAACATTCCTGATTTTAACTTGAGATACTCAAAACATACCAGGGCTGCAGGCAGCAGCCATCAGATATCCCAAGCGGTGATCCATCCCAAATCATCTGCCCAAGGACTACACACTGGCCGCCGTGGACTGGTCTGTCTGGTGCTGGCCGATCCTCGTCTGCTTTGCTGAAGGCAGGTGCACCATCACCCGATAACACAACAACCCAAAGTCCTCAACTTAAAAATAACCACATCTGCTCATTTGCATCGGGAGCGTTGCATTTCATATTTGGGTTTTCATCCCCTAATGCTAAAATGCCTTTGCCTGACCTAGTTACGTGGTTTCGAGGTTCAATCGATAAGAGCGCTTTGTGGTTTTCTACTTGGCACCCCCAGACCCACCTCCCATCCGTTACTGGAGTGATCCTCAGATGAATTATGGGCTCAAAAGTCCAACATTGATTTCCCTCAAGTCTCTCGGCTTTGAAGAGTGTCTGTCTGCCAGGGCGTGTCTCCACCTTCAGAAGTCAATCCGGCTCTGCTGCGGGGCGTGGGCAGGGCAGCCCTCCAGGACTGGCGGCTCGCAGCCCTGCCCTGGGACTCCCTGGCACCGGGTGTGAGGGCAGCAGTTCCCGGAGAAGGTGTTGATGAATCATCCCAGGGCCTCGATCTGTATAACGGCGATTACTGGGTCGATGGCTTCGGTGCCTTCTTAGCCAGGGTTCAGGTGGCTTGAAACACTCAGATTAAGACACATCGGAGCCAGATGCGCACAGGCATGCAGTATTGGGGAAATTAGCTGGGCTAATTCCCAGCCCTTGCCCTCTGGTACTTAGGCCCATGAGGTCTCTGTTGTGGCTGTGGGGGTGAAGCCCATGGGGGGGAAAGGAGGTCTCTTATGGACGTGTGTGTGTGTGTGTGTGTGTGTGTACACGCCAGCACTGAGACTTGAACTCACTGTCCCTAAGCTTTTTCACTTAAGGTTAGCAATCTACCACAACTCCACTTCTGGCTCGTATGTGTGTGTATCTGTCTGTCTGTCTATCTGTCTCATTGGAAATAAGAGTCTCATGGACTTTCCTGCCTGAGCTAGCTTTTGAATGGTGATCCTCAGATCTCAGCCTCCTGAGTAACTAGGATTACAGACATGGGCCACCGTGCCTGGATTATTTATGGACTCTTAATGAGATGTGAGATAATGTTCACTCCAGGGTTTCTGACTCCGTGGGTCTTGGCGGAAGCCCAAGAACTGGCATTAGTAACAAGGTGAGCTAGGATGGTCCTGCCGTTACAGGGCCACACATCCTCTCTTTGAGAAGCACTAGGGTAATCATGCCGTGTTTGAACACTAGGACCAGGCTGCTCAGCTTTCAGCTGATGCTGTGATGCACTAGTTGTGTGATCCTGGGCTGTTTACTTAACCCCTCAGTGCTTCTATTCTGCATTTTGAAAGCAGAGATGAGCCGGGCACCCGGTGGCTCATGCCTGTAATCCTAGCTACTCAGGAGGCTGAGATCTGAGGATCAAGGTTCAAAGCCAGCGCAGGTAGGAAAGTCTATGACTCTTATCTCCAATAAACCACCAGAAAACCAGAAGTGGCTCTGTAGCTCAAGTGGTAGAGCACTCGCCTTGAGCTGAAGCGCTCAGGGACAGTGCTCAGTCCCAGAGTTCAAGCCCCAGGACCAACAAAAACAAAAAACAGAAATGATAATAGGATTTACCCCTGGGAGGTTTGGCAAATATGTGAATGCATCTTGAATGTGTCAGGTACCCATAGCGCGTGCTCTGAGTGTGCTACATGAAAAGCCTTTTAGCACTGGGATCCGATCAAGTCCAGTCTCATTTTCCCATCACCTACAGCCACACCTCCAACCCCACCCGGCCCCATGGAGCCCTGGGCTTGTTTTACCCATTATCCTCCAGCCCCATCTGTGGTGGCTGAGAAAGTCGCTGCCCAGCTTAGTACCAGCAGGAGGGTGTTTATCCCAGCATCCATCAAAGTCCTCTTCCCAGACTGCGCCAGTCCTTCAAAGCTCGACACCGTGACAGGACAGCGGGACCCACTGAGCCCTGCCAGGCTGGGCTCGCAGTTCAGCTTTCTCTCCCTCACTGGTCCGCCCAAGCAGAGAGGCTGCTGTTTCTGGTCAGAAACTCTGTGTTTCCACCGCAGCTACATGCTGATCATTGCCCTTGGGTGAAGGAATCCTTCGCTCTGATTCACACACACACTTGGGTTTGGTTTTGTGGGGACCAGATCCCAAGGCTTTGTGTACACACAGCCTGTACCCCACCACTGAGACACACCCAGCCTTCTTGCACTCAGTGTGTGTGTGTACACGCGCATGTGCGTTGCTATGGGGGCTTGAACTCAGGGTCTTGTGTTCATACTTGGCTTTTTTACTCAAAGCTGGCACTCTACCACTTGAGCCAAACCTCTACTTTCAGCTCTTTTGCTGATTAATTGGAGATAAGAGTTTCAGATTTGTCTACCTGGGCTGGCTTCAAACTTGTGTCTTAGATCTCAGCCTCCTGAGTAGCTAGGATTACAGGTGTGAGCCATGGATGCCCGGCTTGGATTCTGTTTTTTATATATCACTTTAGCTTTTTTTGGGGGGGGGGAGGGTTCTGTAGTGGGGCTTGAACTCTAGGCCTGAGCGCTGTCCCTCAGCTCTTCAGTTCAAAGCTAGCCTCTACCACTTAAACTACCGTGCCACTTCCAGTTTTCTGAGTGGTTTATTGGAGATAAGAGTCCTTTTTTCTGCCCAGGCTGGCTTTGAACCGCGATCCTCAGATCTCAGCCTCTTGAGTAGCTAGGATTACAGACGTGAATCACCAGCGCCTGGCTCACTTTAGCTTTTATAATGTCACTCTTAGATAATGCTTATGATTCCTGTTTGAATACTAGGGTTCAGAGAAGTTATATGACTTCCCCAGAGTGAGCTGTTAAACAGCAGGTGTGTCTGGCCTGAGTATTCTGTGACTATGGAAAGGTAAAGTGAGGTCTGAGCCATGGTGGTCTCTCCCAGTGCTGGAGCCTGACCCTCGCTTCAAGGATTTGCTTCTGTATAGCCAAGTGGCAGGATCCCCTTGAACATACTCCTTCTGGAAATACTCTCTTGGGCCCTGTGGCCTTCCATAGCCATGACTGTCTGTGGTCTGACTGGAGAAATCATAATCACGCTCCAGCGGCGGCTTTGCGTATCTAAACGTCGTGATGGATGTAGTACCTTGGTAATCTTGCTCTCAAATCGTGCTTGAAAGGAAGGGAAAGTCATGCTAATGGAAGTTTCCCTTCTCTCCACAGTGCTCCTTTCTGCCGAAATTCTCCATCCACATAGAAACCAAGTACGAGGACAACAAAGGGAGCAACGACAGCGTGAGTAGCTTGTGACCTTGTGTGCTGTGCAGCCATGCCGGTTCCAGAGTCTTTATGACCAGGGCGGGCGGCAGAGTCTGCGCCCAGGACCTCTGAGATGTCCTGTTTGGCCTGGTCCCTGTGGCTCGTTGAGATGTGCTTTCCCCAACCCCAAAAACCTCTGTGATCTTTACCTGCAATGACTATCATTAGAGGCAGAGAGGATGATGGGAAACGCAGCTCCCCGGGGTCTGGTTCTGACCATTGGATTCAGTACAGATGTTTTCAGCTGCTATTACTTGACTTGGAGAAGTGACTCAAATCAGATCTGTGTGTGACCCTGAGCCTGATCTCTTACCTCATGCTTAGATGGGCCTATCTGTACATTCACACATATCCCACCCGAAAAAATCGGAGGCACCTAGGGAAAACCTTTACCCCGCATGGCATTCTGACTCAGGCATTTGGGCCTGGAACTTGGTGTATTCGTATTACTTAAAAATCCATTGTCTCACTGGTGCGCACGCACGTGTGTGTGTGTGTGTGTGTGTGTGTGTGTGTGTGTGTTGAAGTTAGGGCCGTGTGTGTGTGTGTGTGTGTGTGTGTGTGTGTGTGTCTTGAAGTTAGGGCCTGGGCTCTGCCCCTGAGCCTCTGTGTGTGTGTGTGTGTTTGTGTGTGTGTGTGTGTGTGTGTGTTGAAGTTAGGGCCGTGTGTGTGTGTGTGTGTGTGTGTGTGTGTGTGTGTGTGTGTCTTGAAGTTGGGCTCTGTCCCTGAGCCTCTCCATGCTCAAGGCAAGCGCTCTACCACTTGAGCCACAGCACCACTTTCTGGTTTTCTGGTTAATAGGAGATAAGAGTTTCATGGACTTTCCTGCCCAGGCTGGCTTTGAACCACGATCCTCAGATCTCAGCCTCCTGAGTAGCTAGGCTGATGGCCGTGAGCACCAGGCCTGATGTGCTCTGTTCTGACTCTCCTGGGCTTCTTTGTTCTTGAGTAATTGGGACTGCAAGCATGAGCCACCAGCGCCTGGCAAGGGCGCCAGCTCCTCTTCTGTCCAGAGTGGACGCAGAGTTCAGGACTGGTGGGCAGAGGTGGGCATCCGCCTGCCTCCACACGCACTGCCAGGTTATTTAATAAAAGCTCAGTTCATTTCTACATGCTCTGAACGTCAAATCTTATCATTCGGTTGCCATCCTTCTTGCCACTATCTCTAACCTGATTTCCTCCCCTACCTGCCAAAACTTTAATGAAATGGCTGATGATAAGAAGCAATAATTAAATGGAAAGACGATAGTGATAATCACATGGATTAGTGGTGGAATAGAGCACATGTTATTATCTTATTATCAATGATCATATAAGTCATATTTTTACACCCTCCAAATTCTAGTTTAAAAAAGGAACAAGAAAGAAATAGTGTTTATAGGATGACTAGATAGAAATACCGCTTCTCACTAAAAAAAAAAAGAAAAGAAAGCTAATAAATCGGTGATTGTGTGAACCTGCAAACTGTGATTACTAGAAGCCTGGCCATCAGAGGGGAAGTCGTCTCCCGATTGAGGCCCGTTTATGTTACGCACCTACTGAGGAGAATTATTTAAGCCTTAGTGAGTGCTGGGCGGAGGCTGGCACTGGACCAAAATGAGCTTCTGTTGTTTGTGTAAGGCCCTAATTCTGGGTTTAAGAGAGTCATTGCTCAGCTCGGCCTGGCTCAGCAAAAGGCTCAGCCATGTGTGTGACACCTGCTGCAGGTGACTGGGGTCCCAGGGGATAATGGGGGTGGCCTGGCCCCTATTCCTTTTTCCAAACAAAACCCCAGCGCCACTTAACGGCAGCGGCTCTGACATCACCTGAGAAGTTTGACCATTGGCTCCGGCCTGGATTCTCCATCTCCATCCCCTCTCACCCCGGGGGAGGGAGGGGGTTTCATTGCTTTCGTTGGCCCCACTGCAGCTACCACAGAGGAAGGATCTCACACACACCCTTCCAGGGGGCTGAATTCTGGGTGTGGTTGTGGGCATGCTTGTAAAAATGGCCCATGCTCTGTTTGGCTTGACCATTCGAGCCTCAGCCAGCCAGGGCCTAGCTGGGCAAGTCACCTGAGAAGCTGGCAGTCATGGATGCCCCCAGGCTGGCCTGTGCTTTGTTTTGTTTAATCTGTTAGTATAAAGGTGAGGTACCGAGGGGTTACAGTTACGTAAGTCTGGTCACGAGTACATTTCTTTTTGGACAATGTCACCCTGCTTTGCTTTGCCTTTTTTCCCCCCCTTCTTAATGCTAGTGCTGGGGGCTTGAACTCAGGGCCCAGGTATTGTCCATTTGCTCTTTTGTTCAAGGTTGGTACTCTGCTAACAGCTCCACTTCTGGCTTTTTGCTGGTTAATTGGAGAAAAGAGTCTCAGACTTTCCTGCCTAGGCTGGCTTTGAACTGTAGTTTACACATCGCAGCCTCCTAAGTTGCTGGGATTATAGGCATAAGCCACAGACACCTGACCAGGCACGAGGATTTCTAAAACTCTCCCAGGGGGACCTAAGGGACAACATGGCTGAGACCTAACAGATTTAAGACACAAACACTCAAGAAAGCAAAATCTTTGGATGCCTTTTCTTTTCCTACTGCTGAAAATAAACGCCTGTTTGGCTGTAACCACCACCCTGCTGTGTGGCCCAAGACACCGTATATATTCTTATTAGTCACATTATCGACAAAGACAGTATTCCTCAGCTAGGAAAGTCCGATAAGCAAAGAACGTCTAGTTCTTTTTCAGTTCCTGGAAACTAAGCTCTGTCTTTCACAGAGCTCTCCCAAGAGGTTGACTGAAACAAGTATTTGGAATTTATTTACTGCCTAGTTCATCAAGGTTGGAAGGAAAGAACACAGCGTTGTTCTAGAGACCAAAAGATCATTCCAGCTCCGGCTCTGTGACCTTCAGCAATCCTATTAACCGACTGGAGTCTTGGCTTAACAAGAAGATAGAATAAATAATGCTTGTATCAAGCTGGGTGCCGGTGGCTCACACTGTTTGAAGCCTGTCTGAGTAAGAAAGTCCATGAGACTCTGATCTCCAATTAACCAGTAAAAAGTCAGAAGTAGGACTGTGGTTCAAATACTAGAGCACCAGCACGCCTTGAATGAAAAAGTTAAGGGACAGCATCTAGGCTTTGAGTACTGGCGCCTGTGGCCCCACACACGAACGCAATAATGCCTCTGTCAAAGAGTGGACGTTTTCTAGAGGTTCGTTTATATGGAAGTTCTTTTTAAACTGTAAGTTCTCATACACATAGAGGTAGCCACTGGGCCAGCCATCCTGTGAATAGTATATCTTGGATTGGCTGCGATAATGGTGCTTTGTTCACGAGGCTGGTTTTGTATGAGTTGTTAGTCATTTGTGGTTGTGCACCTGTTATTGGAAGTCAGGCACTAGGAGAGGTGTTGAGGATACAGCCATCAGACAGAGACCTGTGGTCCCTTGCTCCTGGAGTAGGAGAATTCAGACCACGAGCCAGCAAAGCAAGGAAGAAATCGCAGCTGTAACTGTCACAAAGGCAATAAACAGGATAGAGAGAGCCACGTGGAAGCCATGCAGTCAGAAAGGCCTCTGACAATGCAGGGCAATTCCAAGTGGGTCTGAGTTTGGCACGGAGCCTGCCATCTGCTGGTTTTCCAGGCCAGGTGCAATCATGAGGTGCAACCTTCCACCCCAATTCATCTATGGAAGCCTTCAGAATATGATTGTGTTTGGTGGCAGAGCCTTTAAAGAAATGGATTCACTTCAAACAAGGGGATTAGGGTGGGGCCTAATCCAGCATCCTTGTGAGAAGAGAAAACTTGGCCAGTCAACAAGAAGTTGGTGCACATGCGCACAGGAGAGAACAGCATAGTGAGTTGGCTGACTGCCAGACTAGATGGGAGGACTGGGAGGTGGGGGGGCGGACAACCAACCAACCTTGCCAGCAGCACCCTGCCCTTGAGTTTTCAGCCTCCCCAGGAACTGTGAGATGACTCAATTTTGTTGTTTAAGCTGCCCAGCATGTAGCAGTATGCTATAGCCTTCACAGCACAGGAATGCAGAGACGCTGAGGGCAAAGACCTTGGTTCCCTGACAGTCAGAAATTCCAGGAACGGATAGAAAATCATTGCCCAGCTGGGCCCCGGTGGTTCACGCCTGTAATCCTAGCTACTCAAGAGGCTGAGATCTGCAGATTGAGGTTCAAAGCCAGCCCAGGCAGGAAAGTCCATGAGACTCTGATCTCCATCCAGTGAACCACCAGAAAACCGGAAGTGGCGCTGTGGCTCACGTGGTAGAGCCCTGGCCTTGAGCTGAAGAGTTGAGGGACAGCGCCCAACAAAATTAAAAAGATCATTGCCCAGAGGGAAAGAAGGTAGAGAAGTCGATGAGGTTGAACAGAGGGGGAAGCCAGATCGTGGAAGGCATGTGGGGCTGTGGCAAAGAGTTTGGATTGTAGTGCAGGGGGAAGTTAGCCCGGGATTGTAAGCCAAAGAATGGCATGCCATGCCCTACAAAATGTTTTGAAATGAACTCTTCATGTTGGTGATCATCTTAGTATGTAATAACGTTGTATAGATGATGTGCGCAGTTTCCTTCCACTGTGCACCACACCTACCCTAATGTGAACATGTCCCTAACTTTGGTGTGTTTGTCCAAACTACATACTTGGTGCAAATTTCGCCACTTTTCCCCTGAAGTCCTAGGTTCTATTCCAGAAACAACAGTAGGATTCCATTTTGCATGATTTATCTTTTTTTTTGGTTGGTCATGGGACTTGAACTCAGGGCCTTGGCTCTGTCCCTGAGCCCTTTTTGCTCAAGGCTCTACCACTTAAGCCATACTCTACTTTTGGTTTTTTGATGATTAAATGGAGATAAGAGTCTCATGGACGTTCCTTGTCTGGACTAGCTGCAAACCATGACCCTGGGATCTCAGCCTCCTTCCTGAGTAGCTTGGAGTACAGGTGTGAGCCAGTGACTCTTGGCCCTAATTGCTTTCAAGTTTAACTGCTGATTATTACCTTACATTAGTTAAGACTGATTTCCACAAACAATGGGTCGTTGTTGGTTTTAGGAAATTAGGCTATTCCATTTCCTTAAGTACAAAGGTTTCCACACAAATGGAGTTTATTCTCTGGGTGCCATCTTTACCAGACTTGCATAAACATCTCCCTGCATTGAAGGCTCATCGTTCATGCCTCGGGGAGAAGGCCAGAGATGCCCTCCTCACCCCAAATCGCTTACCCTGGGAGCAACCAGCTGCCAGGGAAAGCTTCATCATGTGGGGGAGAACTACCTCCATTTATTGTTTTTTTAATTGACAACAGTCCTCATGAAGTGCGATGCAGTGTCAGCATTTGCAACATCAAGAAGGCAATGCGGCAAATGCGATGGTTAGTAACGCATTTCAAGATGTACTCAAAAATTAAATTATAAAACAGACGTGCCAGGGAGAACTGGGAATTCATATTTACAGGTCCCAGAAGCTGATTTCTTTTTTCCTTACATGGCTTCTAATTGAGGATTGTTGAAAGGGGAAAAAAAAAAGTATGTGCTTTATTTTTAGATACGATCTCTGATGTCTTCAACTTTTATGGCTCTGCTTGTAACCGTGGATTATTATAACCAGCCACCTACGAAATCGGTAATTTTCTCTAATAAGTCAGAAGATACTTTAACAAAAAAAAGAAAAAGAAGAAGAAAAAAATTGTATAAAACACCACTCCCATTTGTACTTTGGCAAGATTGTTTTCTACTTTGTTCCATGCCACTGTACATCCATTCGTTTGAGGGCAATGAATCAAAGCAGATCATGTCTGATTCCTTGGGAGGTAGCTGTTGCTATTTGCAGTACATCTGAGAGGTGGGTGTTTTTGTTTGTTTGTTTTAAATGATCAAAGAGGAATTCTGTCCAGCAGCCTAAGAGTTGGCTTCCTGACTCAGATATAATCACAGTGTTTCTCACCTCCGTAAAGAAGCTACAATTATTGCTTGTAATGATTACTCTTGATAGATACAACCCAGCGTAAGTGTTGGTTTTCTGTCTGGCCTTGGTTCAACTATACTGTGCTGACGTAGTAGTACTAAGAGTTAAGAAGACAGTTAAGCAACATGGCTGAAAGCAGGACAACCGGAAACAGTGCCAAATTATGATTGGGAAACTGGAGAGCAAAGCTAGGAAAGGCTTATTTAAGTAGCAGCATCTGAATGACCATTTTACAACTGTTGTCGAAATCACTGAGTCACCAGGAGACTGACACCATTGAAGGAAGCGGATACTGGGGAAGAGCACATGCACACTATTGCACAATGTCACTGCAGAGATTGCACATTAATGATCAATGCCACAGGGAGCAAATCTTGTGTAACTGATCATAGAGCAAATGGGCATACTGTGTCTCCCCGTGGGACACATGGCCAGGGACCCCTCCTTGGATTGACCTTTCCATGTTTAACCCAAGTTCAATAGTAAGGAATGAATCAGACATCCAACTGGCCCAACTTGTTTGAAAAATAAAATTTAAAAAATCAAAACCAGCCAGACACAGGTGGCTCATACCTGTAATCCTAGCTACTCAAGAGGGGAGAGCTAAGGATCCTGGTTTGAAGCAAGGCTGGGCAAAATAGTCCGTGAGACTCTTATCTCCAGTTTACTGGCTGGAAGTAGAGCTGTGGCTCAAATGGTAGAGCATCAGCCTTAAGTAAAGAAACCAAGTGAAAATGCCAGACCCAAGTTCAACTCCAATACAAATGTACATGCACGCGCACACACCAAAACCAAACAAAAACCTAGGAACCACCTAAAAGAATTTGACAACTGAATTTAATGCCTGAGTCTTTTTTTGGGGGGGGGGGGAGGTCCGGTCGTGGGGCCTGAACTCTGGCCCTGGGCGCTGTCCCTCAGCTTTTCAGCTCAAGGCTAGCGCTCTACCACTTGAGCCACAGCGCCACTTCCGGCTTTTTTTTTCTGCTTATGTGGTGCTGAGGAATCGAACCCAGGGCCTCATGTATGCAAGGCAAGCACTCTACCACTGAGCCACCTTCCCAACCCCTAATGCCTGATTCTTGATTAGATCCTGGGCTGGAGAGTAGGGGATAAGAAGCAAAGAAAGATATTATTGGATTGGGTGCCAGTGGCTCACATCTGTAATCCTAGCTACTCAACAGGCTGAGATCTGAGGATCACAGTTTGAAGCCAGCCTAGACAGGAGAGTACGTAAGATTCTTATCTCCAGCTAACCACCAAAAAGCCAGAAGTGGAGCTGTGACTCAAGTGGTAGAGTGCTAGCCTTACACACAAAAAAGCTAAGGAACAGCTTCCAGGCCCTGAGTTTAACCCCATGGCTGGCATGTGGGCACACATGCCTATGCGCACGCGCGCGCGCGCGCGCACACACACACACACACACACAAAGTTTTATGAGCGTAAATAGCATCTAACAATTATGAGTGACACACCTTTTTTTGGTGGCATGCTGGGTGGGTGTGTCGTAGATGCAAGGCATTAATTCAGCATTCATGGGCGTTCATGCATCCTTCTTGTGGGTCTTTAAGTGTTGAATGGTGTTTGCCTAGAACCGCTTACCCTGAACTGGATTCTGCAAAAGAAAAAGTCATTGTTTGGCCTTGGGGTCTAGAAGGGTCTGGTGATAACTTTGTCCAGGGTGCTGATGAGCTTCGTAACAATACAAATGACTTGCTAGATCTCTGCGAAGAGAACAGGGGGATCACCTTCCTGCTGTAGGTACAGAGCCAGCCCCTTTGTCAGATGGATTTCATTCTTGAGTCCCCGGATGCAGCTCTGAGATAAACACACCTGCAAGGACAGAATTCCTGGCTGGCATTTAGTCTCTAAAACCAAACTGTAAGGCAGGCCTGTGGAAAAGGAGCTGATGGTTTCTAACAGATATCATTGTAAAGCCGTTTCTTCCTTTGACGTCACCAAGCGTTGCTTACATCTGCTCTGACTTGCTTTCTAGCCAGGCGGTGTGTCAGCTGTTAACCTCCAAATTCTTCACTTGATCTTCCTAGACTGCCCGAAATATAATCGAATGCATTAAATCCTTAAATCTGACTTAAACCATCTCTCCCCCAGGAGTACCTATTGAAGACCTATTTATATTGCACCCGATTTTATAGCCCCATTAAATGTAAACTTGAGGGAGCTGCATCTGAAAAATTGCCATCTTGTTCCTAAACTTTTAAAGATGGTTATAGTGTGTGTGTGTGTGTGTGTGTGTGTGTGTGTGTGTGTGTGTGTGTGTGTGTGTTTGCTGATATACTGGGGCTTGAACTCAGAACCTCTTATTCTCATTTGGGCTTTTTGGCGGATACTCTACCACTTAAGTCACAACATCTACTTCTAGCTTTTTGGTGATTGATTGGAGACTGGCTTCAAACCATGAGCCTCAGATCTCAGCCTACTGAGTAGTAGGATTACAAGCATGAGCCACCAGCACTCAGCTCATAAATAGATTTGAGGTATGCAGACCATTATGTACAGTAGTTTTAATTATCTTTAGTTACGTTGATCAGATTAATAGAGATAATAAACAGAGGTCGAGAAGTGTCAGCTAAATGCCATCACATTATGGATATGCATTAGTGAAACCAAGTAATTGGCTCACCTGGTGCTAAAAATTATTATGAGACTGGTAGATAGATAATCACTGGATTCGTGTCTGTTATACATTAGAGTTTGTTACTAACTCACTTCACCTTGTTTGGCAGATCAAAGCTAGAGTGAAATATTGAAATGAAAAATGAAACATAGTAAAGAGACTCTTGAGGAATAAAGGATACTGAAAAGGTGTGTGTGTATGTGTGTGTGTGAGTAACTTAATTTTAATCTATGGGGGAAGTCTTGTTTTTAGCACCCAACTAAATTTGCTTGGAACCATCTGGGTTTCTTGGAAGAGCTGATATACCAGTTGCACACACCGCATGCCTTTGTTGGGGCTTTTTGTAACAGTTAGAAAACAATATTGCTGAGGCTGGTGGTGTAGCTCAGTGGTAGAGCAAATGCTTAGCAAATGCAAGGCCCCGGGTTCAATCCCTGGAATCAGAAAGAAGGAAAGAGAAGGGAAGGGAAAGGAAAATAAAGGAAGCTGTTTGGTACATAAACTTAATAAATACAGATGTGGGCTACTGGGCTCAAGCCTGGGATCCCAGCTACACAGAAGGCTGAGAAGGTCTAAGGATCCCAGTTTGAACCCTGACCAGGTAGAAAGGTCCATCCAAATTTTGGTTTTGTTTTTGTCGGTCGTGGGTCTTGAACTCTGGGCCTGGGCGCTGTCTCTGAGCTCTTCGGTTGAAGGCACACGCTCTACCACTTGAGCCACAGCACCACTTCCAGCCTTTTCTGCTTATGTGGTGCTAAGGAATCGAACCCAGGGCCTCATACATGCAAGGCAAGCACTCTACCACTGAGCCACCTTCCCAGCCCAAGTCCATGCAGATTTTATCTGCAATTAGCTACTAAAAAGCTGGAAGTGGAGTTGTGGCTCAAGAGGTGGAGCCACAGCCTTGAGCACAAAAGCCAAGAGACAATGCCCAGGCCCTGAGTTCAAGCCTCCCAGTACTAGCACAAAAAAAAAAGAGAGAGGGCTGGGAAAGTGGCTCAGTGGCAGAGCGCTTGCCTTGCATGCATGAGGCCCTGGGTTCAATTCCTCAGCACCACATAAGCAAAAAGAAAAAAAGCCGAAGTGGCGCTGTGGCTCAAGTGGTAGAGTGCTTGCCTTGAGCTGAAGAGCTGAGGGACAGCGCCCAGACCCAGACAGAGTTCAGGCCCCACAACCAGGCCCCAAAAAAAAAAAAAAGAGAGAGAAATACTCTTATAAAAGAGGGACCCTGTCCCCTTCCGTGGAGTAGCCAGGAGGCTTGATTAGACTTGTCACGTGCCACAGATGGGAGAAATCACTGTCTGTTGTACACACGCTGTACGGTCTAGAGAATTTTGTTATATATAGCTTCTTGAACAGACCAAGGCAGGTGAGGTTGAAGAGAGGTTCTGTTTTTATCCTGTTGAGTTCAAAGTGCTCATGGAAAATTTAGTGAAAAATAACTGGAAGGAAATTGGATGTATAAATCGAGAGCTGAGACCTAGAGGTAGAGATTTAGAAGTCATAAAGCAGAGGTAGCTTTAAAGCTGTAGGAACAGAAGATATTTCCCACAGGACAGATGAGTAGGAACAGGAAAAGAAGGTCAAGGACAGAATCCATGAGAAGAGGGATATTCAATGGGAAGGGAAGGGAACAGCATCCCTTGAAGATGGATAAGAAGGCGCACTCAGAGAGGCAGCAGGAGAATTGAGATGTTTTGGGGTGACGCTCCAAGCCCAGGGAAGTGAACCCAAGGAAGGCACTGTACCAAAGACAGCCACAGAGTACAGTGAGCCCAAAACTTCAAAGATCCTGTGGGATCAAACCATTATGAAAGCTATTCATGCCAAGTGCCTGTAGCTCACACCTGTAATCCTAGCTACTCAGGAGGCTGAGATCTGAGGATCACCTTTCAAAACGAGCCCGAGTAGAAAGTCCATGAGAGAATCTCCAATGAACCACCAGAAAACCAGAAGTGGCACTATGGCTCAAATGGTAAAGCACTTGCCTTGAGCTGAAGAGCTCAGGGTCAGTGCCCAGGCCCAGAGTTCAAGCCCCACAAGCAACCCCCTCAAAAAAAAGAACAAAGACCAGAACACACCACACAGACTCCCTGTCTCCTGCTACACTAATGTCCTACACCACTTCAAATCTCAGCCAGCAAGAAATCATCACAAAACAGGAGCCTTCAACCCTGCACTCTGGAACGAGAGCCCAAACACACTTCTTTTCTTTATAAGTTTTCTCAGCCACTGGTATTTTGTTCTAGTAACACAAAATTGTCTAAGACAAAAGGCGAGGCTGACATGCTTATAGCAGGATGCTGTGGACACAGATGTATTTCTCATGAAAATGATCAGAAGCTGGGAGAAAGACCTGCGGGGGTGGGGGGTGAATCACTGTGATGGGGGAAAAAGGGACCCGGGCCCAGAAATTCAAAGGCAGAGGAAATGAGTTAGAAATAAAACAAGGCAATGGATGAGCCGAGGCCTGGTTGGCAGGGTCCAAGATGAGCAAAGAATGCTCTTCTTAGAGCCAAGTGTGGCGGCGATGTAGTTTTTCTACCTCTCAGCCCCCATGTGCTTCTCTGAGCGGAGATCAGATGGGGAAGGACATCTCGAAACCCCCACGGCCAAGACTCCTCAGCATCCCCCCTTCCTCCGCCCCACAGAGAGAGCGTGCACACTGCCAAGGCTTTGGCTAAGGCCCTTCGTGCATCTTCCACAGTCTGGCCAAGACCTTGGATGCATGTCACATGCCAAGTGACAACCAGAAACAGATCTTGCTCCAAACTCAAGAGAGCCCACACTGGGATTTAATTGTGAATTTCTTCAGCCTTGCGACTTCATCCTGCCAACTTCCTGACCTTTGGTTAATGAAGATTTTTCACTTTGCATTGGTATTTTGTATCTAAGGATACTGGTTCTAAGTGAAGGCAGCACTGGGGGCCCTCTGGTTTTGCTGGGCATTCTTGACCACTTGAGGCACACCTCTACCTCCATCGTTTTAGTGGTTAATCAAAGATAAGAGTCTTACAGAGTCTTCTTCCCAAGTTGGTTTCGAACAGGCTCCCTTAGATTTTAGCCTTCCTGATAGCTAGGATTAAAGAAATGAGCCACTGGCTCTGAGCTCCATAGATAGCTGGCTCTTCACACCAAATTGGAGACTCTTGTAGTACCAGATAGAACAAGCACCTGTGTGTGGTGTGAGGAAATCCAACAAATGCAGGAGGCAGCCCCAGAGCCCCTGGTAAATACCAGCGCAGAAGAATAATACAAAACACTTAATAGTAGCATACTTGAGCTCCGTACTCACAACACAAAAAGAAAGGGCAGAAGGCAGGGAAGGGCACTGCTGTTACAGTACCAGGACCTCAGGCTCGATTGTTTGGCTTGCTTGCTGATGGCTGGAGCTCCACCTTTTAAGCCATACCTCCAGCCCAGGTTTTTTGTTTTTTTTTTTTCTTTTTTTTTGGGGGGGGGTCCGGTCGTGGGGCCTGAACTCTGGGCCTGGGCGCTGTCCCTCAGCTCTTCAGCTCAAGACCAGCGCTCTAACACTGGAGCCACAGCGCCACTTCTGGCTTTTTTCTTTTTGCTTATGTGGTGCTGAGGAATGGAACCCAGGGCCTCGTGCATGCAAGGCAAGTGCTCTACCACTGAGCCACCTTCCCAGCCCCTTTTGTTTGTTTGTTTGGTTTTTTTTTTTGATGGTTAATTGGAAATAGACTTTTGCAGATTTTTCTGCCCAGGCTGGCCTCAGATTATGATCCTCCAAATCTCAACCTTCTGAGGAGCTAGGACTACAGGCATTAACCTGTAGTCCTAGCTGTGGTCTTTTAATTCTTCACCTGCTCAGAAGCAGATCCTGTGACCAGAGGGGACCTAAAGGGGATTCCTCACATTGAAGAGAGAATTCTGCCCTAAACCTGCTGGCTGCCTGAATAGCACCATGGGTAATAAATGAGAGAATTATTCAATAGTTGGGGTTCAACCATCTTCAGCATATAAACAAGTACATGAAAAATGGGATCGAGGGAAAGGAGAACAAGAGTAAAAACAGAGAGAGATGTTCTTTATCAAACATTGGAGAGAACATTTGTTTCTCAAATACCCGTCATGTCATTAATCTTGGTTCTTGTTGTTCAGACAAGTGACCCTTTTTATTTTTATTTTGTTGTGCTGGGAACTCCACCCAGGACCCTGGCCAAGACTTCAGCGAGTACCTACTGCATTCCTAACCTTCAGGAGATTGTTTTGTTTTGTTTTTGGTTGGTCTTGGGGCTTGAACTCAGAGCCTGGGTGCTAACCCTGAGCTTCTTCACTCAAGGCTAATGCTCTACCACTTTGAGCCACAGCTCCACTTCCAGTTTTCTGGTGGTTCATTAGAGATAAGAGTCTCATGGCTTTTCCTGCCCTGGCTGACTTTGAACTGTGATCCTCAGATCTCAGCCTCCTGAGTAGCTGGCGTGAGCCACCAGCGCCCGGCTTGGATTATTTTTTTTTAACTGTAACCAAATTTAAACTCTTCCAAGAGAATGGCCAGCTAACTAAGATATAATAATAATAATAAATTATTCCACTAAGTAATATAGGCTCACAAATGCAGGCATTTGTGGGAGCCCTGTGAGACTGGATGTGGGGTGGGGTCTTGGCCTAGAAGACTTGTCTCTGTTTCAGACACAATTGAAAGCCACGCTTGCTAATAGAAACCTTGGCATAACCTGCTATCTGCCACCACGATATTAAACTGGCTCAGAGCCAAGGACAACACGTGGGAGCAGCGGGGAGAGATTAGCATCGCATGGGAGATTTTAGGCTCAGGGCCAGAAGAGGTGCTTTCCTCCCCACTTTTCATTAAAAAATAATAAGAAGAAGAATATGGGAAAGAAATAGGGAAGGTACACAAGAATTCCTTTGAGCCACTCTGTTCTCCTGGGACAGTCAGATAGCTATGGAAATAGATCATTGGCTGTCAGAGATCTTGGCTGTGGCTTGACCTTGAAATGACCTCCACCATGACCCTTCCTGAGTTTGGAGAGAGGGAGCTTGTTATCTCCAGCACAGGGAAATAATAATCACAGAGGCCTGTTTTCTACCTGGACTTAGAAGAATCATTATTTGAGCAAATAATCTGAGCAAAAAAAAAAAAAAAAAAACAACAAAAAACCTTCTCATTGCTACCTCATCCCACGCTGATCCAGGGAAGGACACACAGTGATTGGCTCCCAGGTACCTGCTCCCTGGGGCTGAAGCTGGGTACTGGTGGCTGCTCACGCCTGTGATCCTAGCTACTCAAGAGGCTGAGATCTGAGGATCACAGTTCAAAGCTAGCCTGGGCAGAAAAGTCCAGGAGACTCTTAACTTCCAATGAACCCCCAGAACACTGGATTTGGAGCTGTGACTCAATATGGTAGAGGGCTAGCCTTGAGCAAAAGAACTCAGGGACATCACCCAGGCGCTGAGTTCAAGCCCCATAACAAAACAGAAAAAGACTCATGGATTTTTTTTTCTGTCCAGGCTGGCTTTGAACTGTGATCCTCAGATCTCAGCCTCCTGAATCACTAGGATTACAGGCTCCACAGTGCGATCTCTTCTCCCCATTTATGACCTATAGCACCCACTGCGGGTAGCCTGAGCATCACACCTGGGCAGGGTTCTTTGTTACAATGATTCTAGATGCTGCTCCCAGAGCACTTGCTCTTGCCAAACCAGCGCAAGATGTCTTTGGGAAAACTTCTAAACTTTTCCTTTGGGAGGAAAATAAAAGGTTCAAACCTAGCAGGAAGTTTGCAAGAATAGAACTGAGCTGGCAGATTCACCGATGGTTCACATTTTTCCCCATTTGCTATGTCCCTTTGTAAATGTTTACACGTTGTCCTTGGAGAATAAGTTCCAGGCACCTTGACCCTTCACCCCTGGTGACGTCATTGTGGTTGTCCTAAGAACACGGGTTTTCCCTTACATAACCACAGGGCCATGATTCAATTCTGCAAGTTTAACGTGGACATCGTTGTGTGCTATTTACATTTTGATAATTATCCCAATAATGTCTTTTTATAGCAAACAACAATAGCAGCCTACTGATTCATTCATGTCCCAATATATGCTCTCAACACTGAGTTCTGTTGTCATTTTCTTGAGTCTTTAATCTGGAGCTGTTCCTCAGGTTTTCCTGGGGGGGGGGGTTCGGTGTTTTTTTAAAAATGTGTTTTTAAAATACAACTTTTATTGTTTTTATTAAGGCGTTGTACAGAGGGGTTATCATTTCGTAAGTCAGGTAATGAGTACATTTCTTTGTTTCGTTTTCATCTTTCTTTCTTTTCTTTCTTTTATTTTTTTGCCGGTCCTGGGGCTTGA